TTGTTTGAGATTTGTCTTTTTTTTTTTTTGAGATAGGCCTATATTGCTATAAATTTCTCTCTTAATAGAACTGCTTTGGGTGTGTTCTAGAGATTTGGGGTCATTGTGTTTTCATTTTCATTTGTCTCCAGGTATCTTTGGATTTCTTCCTTGATCTCGTTGTTAACCCATTCATTGTTTAGTAGCATGTTATTTATCCTCTATGTATCTGCGTGTTTTTCAGTTTTATGCTTGTAATTTTATACCATTTTGATTAGAGAAGATGCCTGATAGAATTTTAGTCTTCTTAAATTTACTGGGACTTGTTTTGTGGCCTAACATGTGGTCTATCCTGGAAAAGGTTCTATGTGTACTTAAAAAGAATGTATATTCTGCTGCTTTGGGGTGAAATGTCCGAAAAATATCAAGTAAGTCTTCTGTTCTAATATGTCATTCAAGGCCACTGTTTCTTTGTTGATTTTCTGTCTGGATAATCTATCCATTGATGTCAATGGGGTGTTAAAGTCCCCTACTATTATTTTATTATTGTCGATCCCTCTCTTATGCCCGTCAATATTTGCTTTATATACTTAGGTACTCCTGAGTTGGGTTATATCCTCTTGTTGGATTGATCCCTTTATCATTATGAAATGCCCTACTTTGTCTCTTGTTATAGCCATTGTTTTAAAGTCTGTTTTCTCTAAGTATTGCTACCCCAGTTTTTTGTTCATTTCCACTTGCATGAAATATCTTTTTCCCATCCCTTTACTTTGTGTGTGTCTTTTGATCTGAAGTGGGTCCCTTGTAGGCAGCACACGTACAGGTCTTGTTATTTTACTGATTCAGTCTTTTGATTTAAATGTAGGGATGCTACATTTCCTAGGATTTGATATTTTTAGTGATCGAACTACTAAAAACAAAAATGCTGTCATTTGTTTCCAAAGACTACCAATATACTAGAGCCGTGTGAAAATAATAAAAGCAAGATATTTCATGGCAAACTTTGCGTATAAGGTTAAGACTGTAATCTGCGAGTTATCTCAGGGTAAACACTGTAGCCACAAGCGCTGCTTGCGAGTATTCTCAAGGCAAATGGAAAAAAGGTTAATCTTTGGCATTTTAATTATGAAACAGCTTGTTATGGGCCTCTTTGCCTTTATCTTGTTTGAGATTCTTTGTTGGTTTTTCTCTTCAAATAGATTTTCAATCCCTTGTTCTCTTCTCCTGGTACCCACAGGATGTGAATGCTGGTATAACTGCTGTCCCAGAGGTCCCTTAAACTATTCTCATTTTTTTTTCCTTTTTGCTGTTCTGATTGGCTGTTTTCTGCTACCTTGTCTTCCAGATGGCTGAGTCATTCCTCTGCTTCAATTGACCTGCCGTTAATTCCCTTCAGTGTACTCATTTCAGTTTTTGTATTCTTCATTTCTGACATGTTCTTTTATATGGTTTCTGTCTCTTTGTTGATGTTCTGAGTTCATCTGAATGTGCAATTTTTAAAAAATAATTTTGGCTTAGGTATTGGTGAGGTAATGACATAGTTTGCTAATGAAAATAAAAATATGCATAGCTTAGTGATGAACTAATTTAAATCCTACCACATTGATATTTACTAGCTGTGAAGACCTTGGGTAATTACTACACGTTGTAGTGTCTTACTTTCTTTCATAAATTGAAATAGTAATTCTTTCAAATTAGTTGTGAGGAATAAAATTATGTCTATAGCTATAATACATACTAAATTTACATTTATTTATATTTTATATCTTATATAATTGTATTTATATAAACTTCCCAATATGTTTATATAATAAAATGTATGATATATATGCTACATAAATTGTATATATATTAAATTATCTATATATAACCTATATGTTTAAAATACTTAACATTTGGCCCATAGTATGAGCTTAACAAATTTTAAAAATAATTACTTAATATAATCTGAGACATAATCTCTAAATTTATTTAGTAATTCAGTGACAACTTGGAATGGACATAGAGACTCTTAAATGCACAATTTTTACTAAATTACAAATAAAATCTTCACATACTCTGGAAGATAATTATGATAGTTAAGACTACTTAACATTTGGCCCATAGTATGAGCTTAACAAATTTTAAAAATAATTACTTAATATAATCTGAGACATAATCTCTAAATTTATTTAGTAATTCAGTGACAACTTGGAATGGACATAGAGACTCTTAAATGCACAATTTTTACTAAATTACAAATAAAATCTTCACATACTCTGGAAGATAATTATGATAGTTAAGACTAAGGTTATAACATATAATTTTTTTAATGGTTATTAAAAAGCATTAGTATTAGATTTATAAGAAAAAAGATCAGGTTCTGTGGTAAGGAAAAACATTTCAGGTAGTCGAACTGTGAAAACTATAACATTGAAAAAGTTCCTTTGTTGAAACACAAAAACATCTTATCACTAATGACTACACAGTTCCAACCCTTGTATGAAGTAAAGCCATGATTTTCAATTGAGGTCTTTAGATAACTAGAATAGTTGGTCTTAATATAAAATTCAATTACTTTTTCTCCATGCTAGTAAAGGAGAAATAGTACCGGAATTAATTACTTTTATCATGAGATTTCTTTTATTTTGTTCGTATATTTGGCAGTAAGATCTTTTTATCAGTTACAAACACATTTAATACTAGTTATATGCTGAAATTGTATTATTTTCAAGTGTTACTCTGAACTGCCTTCTAAACACTAAGAGTATGAATAATCTCTGGAGTTGATACTGCACTTCATCAGCATGAGCACACACAAGTAACCATAATGACTGTTATTCTACTGTAAGTTGGATTCCCTGGGTTTTTAAAGAATGGTATCAAACTGTAGTGTATTATATTTGCAACAAGAGAAGCAAACTGTAAAATATGTAAAAACTCAAACATAGCTAGTAATAAACACAAACACCATGTGAATTATATACTCATGTGAAGAAATAAGATTAGCAAAAAATGTCTGCCCCATATACAGGTATATGTGAACGACATATTCATATCATATATCAATTGTTACATCTAAAAATTAAACTTTTAGAAAGCTCTTTGTAGACATATACACACACACACACACATCCTTTTTAGATTAGAGAATAAGGAAAATATTTTTAAATCCTTTAGAAATAGTCTTTTCATAGAAAACTTATACGTAAACAAGTCACTATCAGTCATTTAGATCATAAGGAAAAACGGAATTTATAAGGTGCAGCAATTATATCAGAATCCTCAATGGTCATCTGAAAAAGGCCTTAATAAAAACAGATTACTGCAAAATTAGGACTATTAGAATCCTCAAGGGACATAGTATCCAGTCTCAAGGTTTTGATGGAAAGACTTAATCCAGAAGGCAAGCCCAGTCCTTCTGCTGGTGTGAAATAAATGAGTGGATAGCTTGGTAGCAGCAGCCCTGGGCGCTGCATGTGGGCAAATATTTTGTTGGAAAAAGTATCTTATTTTCTGTGACTTGACTACGTTTGTAAAGAGTTCTGGAAGTATGTTGAAACATATGATGATATAGCTAGCTGAATCTCTCGGAGTAATAATCAGAACTATTTTATCATTCAGGTAAGAGCCAGTTCTGGCTTCTGGTAAATGCCTATTTCAGGATATTTCAACAAGGTTTGCCCCTACAATTTCTAGTGTAACGCTAATCAGAATTTCTACCACTTCAAATCATGTATGTGAACGATGCTCTTCTGGGTCCTACAACACCTACTTATCATGGAGTAAACTGTAAAGCCGCTGTGGAAATCGAGTATTTTGGTCACAGTCCTTCCCATAGCTTAACATTAAATGTTTCATTTAATCCAGAGTTGGTGATAGCAAATATTTTAAATCAGTCATGGCACTCTCCTCAAAGTTGTAACATTATTTCCTTAGTGGATTTGCTTCCTTCATTTACATAAAAGCTGTCAGATATTGTTTCTCCTTTTGACCTTTATATTTTTTCATTTTTGACATAAACGTCAGTGTTTCAATGGCTACCCATGGATATTTGAAATCTTAGAATGACTAGAAGTGAATTGGCAAGAGCACGAATCAAAATTTGAAAAGTCTGCTAAAATTTTCTATGCTTTCCTGAGAAAGTGTTAGAAAACTATTAGAGGAATTTCAGCATCTCCAATGCATGTCATCAAGTATATAAGAACTACTGTCTTGATAATTCTCAAAACAGCTTAAAGTCTTGAAATAGGAAAAAATCTACATAGGAAAAACTTATGTATATAATTATGAGAAAATATTGTTCCTATTGCTCAAAAAATGTGTTCAGCCTAACAGACATCAGTGACTTTTCTATACATCCACTCATCCAAGAAACATGTGCTGACACAGTAGTGAACCAAAGAATACTCTTCAAAGCATTAAAACTCTAGCAGAGGAGAAAGACAACAATCAAGCAAATAAATGAAATTTCAGGCAGTGATACGTGCTGTAAAGAAAATTAAAGCGCAAGAAGGGGAGCTATTTTAGATATGGTGGTTGGAGAAGGCCTGCTGAAGAAACAAAGCAGCATTTCATTATTTATGGTTATAAGTACAACTTGTCTATCTATCTTTCTACTTAATGAGTGGCAGTGGAGTATGGCATCCCTAAATAAGCTATGAAAATTAAGAGTTTGGTGCTAATATTAATTCTAAAGAGATTTCTTTCTTTAATGGAAAAATAAAAGAATACGGCATTACGACGTACATAGGGATTTCACCCTTTTCGCATCTGGTCAGGCAAAACAATTCAGAGGATGAATAAATTTTGAATTAGAGAACATACTTTACCGACTGATCAAAGAAAATATTAAGGCTTGATTTTTTTTCTTTTTCATGAGGTAATTTTGTAGGCATTTCTCTCATAATATAAGCTTTATAAGCAACTTGCAAAGGTGATAAAAATACTTCCTTAGTCTGGCACTGCTCATTAAATTATATAATGAATAAAAAGGTACTCCAAAAAGCACTAGACAAATGTATTGCTATTAGCCAACTCACCTGAAGATGAAGGCAGCTGATCATAGTCTTGTGATGTTCTGTTGGATTTGACATTTTCACCTGGTAATCTCCTTGCAGGAGGCAAAGGAACTTGGCCACTTGCTGGATCAAAAAAAGGATCTTAAAAATAAAGGTAATTTTCAAATTAGAAAGATTGTCCCTGCCAGTTGAATGAAGAATAAAATTCTAGAAGTTCTCTATAAAGATCAGTTTTTAAAAATTTCATGACTGATTGAAACCATTTTTAATCCGCCTATATATTTTCTATTTATCACTTACTCGAATATGCTCTTCTCATTTATTCCTAGATAATACTAATTTTATATTTTCCAGTTCTTATTTAATTTTAAAATTGATGAAATTGCTTCTAATTTTTATTTTCTGTCCTTTACAATAAATAGAAACTGTTGAAAAGTTTTTTTTTTTAATTTTGCCTGTATTTCAAATGAATCTTAGTAGGCAAACATAATCTGTAAAATGGACCTTACATTTGAGATTTATGAGCATAAAACGAATTCATGTATGTGAAATCTATACATAGAAGGTGCTTTTTAAAATAGCACATCGGGCATTCTGTTAAAAATCATTGTTGTTAATTGGCTCATTGAATAGTAAATTCAGTTTTTCAAAACTTCTATTAAAGTTTGAACATACAGTAAAATGTGATTTTTTTTTTTTTACCACCTTGGCAGAGAGGGGACATTTGAAATAGTGAAAAATAAATATAAATCGTAGACAAAAGTTCTTCTACTTGTAATATTAATTAACTAGGACTAAAGGCGGAAAAAGATTCTGTAAGTGCTACTATATTAAATGGATAGGACTATAAACTAAAATGGTTTAAAATTATTACTACATGGGTTTAAAGCCATAGAACTGATTCCTTTTTTGAGTAGATGAATATTGCCTCTACAATCTTTGGTTCCCTGAAAATTTATTTAGCCACTGCTTTCATCTCAGGCTCCTCTCTCATATTCCTTTTATGTCTGCCAGGATTTCCAAAGGTGCTGTAAGTTTTTTTGAGGGCAGTAACCTTATCTTACTCATCCTGTTTGAATTTTTTCTCCTAACACAAACACAGTACCAAGAACATGCCTGGAAAACAGCCTGCATTTCATAAATATTTACTTTTAACTACAAAAACTAAACCCAGACACAGATTTTTCATAAATTCAAAATCAAACCTATGAACTTCACTGATAAATCCATGAAATTTGAATTGCTAACATAGGCTAAAACTATAAATATTAAAGAAGTTAAAAGTTTTAATGACAAACTTAAAACGACAAGTTTGACTATTTAAAAAGAAAATGCATGCTGATTTATACTAATTTTTGACTAGATAATGTAAGGTAAGAGATAAAATCAGTATTTCCCACCCCCTACCCCCATTTGAGTATAATGATTATCCCTGGCTTTGCTGGAGACTTTTTGACCTAAGCAAGGTTACCTGCTTTCATTTATTTCAAGATTAAAATGAGTCTTAGATTTTGAGCTTTCAATAGTTGAAGAGTCAATGTCAGCCTCATTAATTTTGCTGAAACATTTTAGGGAGAAACGAGAAGATAAATTCTATGCAAGAAATGTTAATTTTTGATTTGGAAGAGTAACAAAAGGAACCAAATATGGTGATTTCTGCATAAATTTAGAAATTTTCCAAGGATTTAAATATTAATAAAATTTACTTTCAGTTCTTGTGCATTCTAAAACATCACTGAGATAACAGATTGGAGGAAGGATTATCTTTTATAACACATATACTTTTAAAATTTCCTTAGGGGTAATTTATAGGCTTGTCAGATATGCTGTTTTTAATCATCTATTTTAAGGCTAAACACTAGATTCTAGATACGCTGCAGTCATAAATAAACTACAAAATATATAGTTGTATAATATTATTCCAATATACTATTTCAGTTAAAAAGTCACTAGGTACACTAAAAATATTAATCCTCACTGTCATGTTCTGTCTTGCTTCATGCTAAGTTTGCTACTAGTCAGGTATTGGGTAAATTGGGCTTTTATATCAAGTTGTAAAGTTGGAATTCATGCTTCAGTGGGAAAAAATATACAACAAAATTACCACAGAGAGAACAATAATTACCAACTGTCTCCTCATGAAGAAAACTTGAAAAGCAATAGTTTTTAAAAACAAATTCCTCAAAAACTAATTACAGTAAAATTTAATATCCATACTTAGTATTGAAACATACAAATTAAAAATATCATAGCCCATGTACCACTGATATAGTAATAAATGTTTGAGAAATGAATGAATGAACAAACACAATGGAATTAATTTATTCTAAAAAGCAAAGTACCACTGCTTGTGATTTACAGTATGTAATGCTAAACTGAATATTTCATAGTTATTTTAGAGGTTATAAAAAACTAAGGAAAGATGGGAAGAAAAAGGTTTGCTAAGTATAAAAAAAGTTGGACAGACTTCTGGTCAAAAAGGCAGAGTAGGTAAACACTGCTGGCCTCTTCCCATGAACACATCACCTTTACAACAAAATTAAATAACTAGCTAAACAGAAGTCCTATAACTCAAGATATAAAAAGCAGCCATGTTGAGGCTGGTAGGAAGGGCAGAATGGGCAGATCCTACACTCACAGTGTGGTGACTAAGAATCAGGAGGGATAGCTCAGCTGTGGAGGAAGGGGTCCCTCTGAGAAGCAAGGGGTCCCAGTCACAGACCAGAGGTCCAGTGCCAGGAAGAGAAGTCCCAATAACATCTGGCTGTGAAAACCAGGGGGATTATACCCAAGTGAGAGGGAAGACTGCTGGAGAACTAGGTGCTACACATCTTAAAGTGCCTAAGCACAGAATGACTTGCTCTGGGCTCTAGTGCAGAGGCAGCATCTCAAAAAGCACTAAGAACAGATAGAAGGAACTAAATTAACTGGCGTCAGGGAGAGGGCTAGATGGGCAGGGATCAGGACAGCTTTCTCCAGGGACAAAAGTGTTGTCAGGTGCTATTGTTCCTTTATTGAATGCTCCCTCCACCCAGCCAGCCCTGCACAGATGGATGCCAAGTCTAAGTTCTCTTAACCTTGATATCACTGTTCACTCCACACTGTTTTTTCCCTGAGGCCCTGTCCCATCCAACTTGCATGCCTAGCGCCAAACCTCCTACAATACCTCCTTTACACAATCAGCCTTCCTCAGCTTGTGCTGAGGTCCACTAACCCCAAATAAGCAGTGGCTGGCCTTGCTGTGCCCTATACGAGCCTGGCACAAGCAGCAACCAGTCCCAACTTCCATTGTAACTCCATCAGTTAGCCCCGCAAGCTTGGTATAAGTCCTAGCTTGGAACGTAGCTTCAACTAAGAAGTCACAAACGTGGCATAAGTGACAGCTGGCCTAAACTCATTGTGGTGCCCATCAAAGAGTCCCAAGCCTCTCCCAAATACTTCCAAGCCTAACACAAGTGGTGACCAATCACAAGTGGTGACCAATCACATTTGTAGCTCTTACCACATAGCCCAAAGCCGGGCAAAAGCAGAGTGCCTGACCTTGACCTGCACTGGAGCCCCTCCCAAGAGGCCCTAGAGCCAACATACCTCATGGCCAGCTTCACAAATGACACACCTAAACGGCGGACTTGGCTGGCACTAGAGGCCCACTAAAGTGACTCCTGCTCCATGGGATCAGCCCCTGCACAACAGCGTCCACTGTAGTTACAGCCAGCTCTCATAGCCTGAGGGTCAAACCCACCTGCTGACATGCCAAGATCAATTAAGGACCAACTACAACAGAAAAGCACACACTACCCACACAAGGGACATACCTGGAACACCCAGCTCAGGTGGCCAGGGACACTGCACCACTGGGTCCCATAGAACATCTACTACATAAGGCCACTTTGCAAAGACAGGGAGACATAGCAAATCTACCTTATACATAGAAACAAACACAGGGAGTCAGGCAAAATAAGGAGACAAATATATTCCAAATGAAAGAAATGAACTTGGGTGAAGAAGAGATGAACTTAGAACTTCAACAAAGAGATATGAAACAAAGATAAAAGGCATGAAGAATGAGTCAGAAATTAGGAATACAATAATTTAAATGAAGAATACATTAGAGGGAATCAGCATGATTAAATGCGTCAGAATACTGAATAAGCCAACTGGAAGACAAGGTAGTAGAAAACACTCAATTGGAACGGCAAACAGAAAAAAGTTTTAAAAAATGAGGATAGTTTAAGGGACTTCTAGGACAACATCAACCATAACAACATTTGCATTATAGGGATCCCATAAGAAAAGAGAGATTTATAAACTATTTGAGGAAATAATGACAAAAAACTTCCCTATATTAGCAAGGGAAATAGACACACAAATCCAGGAAGAAGAGTCCCGAACAAGATGAACTCAAAGGGGCCCACAACAAGAAACGTCATAATTAAAATGCCATAAGTTAAAGACAAAAAAAGAATTTTAAAAATAGAAAGAGAAAAGCAGTTAGTTACAAAGAGCTCCCATAAGACTGCCAGCTGATTTCTCAAGAGGAACTTTGTAGGCCAGAGGGAATGGCATGAAATATTCAAAGATCAAAGTGATGAACATCAAAGACCTACAAACAACATTGCTCTACCCAGCAAGGCTATCATTAAGAATTGAAAGAGTGAGAAAGAGTTTCTTAGGCAAGAAGAGGCTAAAGATGTTCATCATCATTAAAATCATATTACAAGAAATGTAAGGAGACATCATTCAGTGGAAAGGAAAAATATATATAAATAATATAGGAAAGGAAAAAATTCACACTGACAAAGGCAAACTTAGAAAATGTAGTAGATCAACTAACTATAAAGATAGCACAAAAGTTAAAAGGTCAAAGTCGGAAGATTATGTGTAATTATATTAATAAACTGATACACACAAACACACAGAAAAGTAAAAAATAATAAAACAGGGAGGTGAGTAAAAATAGTAGTGTCTTCAGAATGTGTTCAAACTTAAGAAACCAACTTAAACTGCTATGCTATAAACATAGCTTAGTACATATGAAGCACATGGTAACCACAAACCAAAAATCTGCAAGAGATATACAAGAATTAAAGAGAAAGGATTACAAACATGACACTAAGAAATTCAACATACAAGAGAGGAGA